TCATATAATGTATTGAATAAAATGCTAAAAGAGATAAGTCAATCTCGAGATCTTGAAATTAGGAGACACAAGTGACGGGGCAGCAATATATTATCAATTCTTATTTCGCAGCCAGACTATCACGATTTGCAAGCAGAACTGTATGAATAACCTCAAGTTCTATTTTCATATCTTTCACATCTGCACTATTATAAATGAGGATTCTCACCACAAGGATTTAATCATTTACCTGTCTCTTTATCATGAGCATTGTAAGAAGAAACACAACTGGCTGAACTTAGAAGAACAAGTAATCAATAATAATTTCTAACTTATATGGGATTGATATTAACAACAGTGAACATTTATTTGGATTTATGAGAAGAGCTAAGTAATCTTCCATGAGAACCGAGTGGAGGGTTTTCACATCTGTTCTCTAGATCCAGGTATCTGTACATTTATGACTTGGTGAGTAATAGTCAAATCCTGACTTTGCACCATTTGAAAAATAGCTAATTGACATTTATTTATTTTTTGGATATTCACCTACGCATGGCTCTGGCTACATTGGTAATGGTGTTGCTCAAAGATTTGCACACCTTTATTTCAATCTCGATAATATCATTTCCTGGACGACCCAAGCTTCTGCTTGAAAACAAAATTCTATGCACTCGTCGATGGCATCGTAAATTGACAGCAAGATTATACATAAAATGATGACTTGGCACACGGACAGTTTCACCAACGGCTGATTTCAAAGGTCCAAGAGCTTAATAAGGATTGGATGTTGTGGTTAATGAGACATATACGAGCAAAACATGTAGCAATTGTGGTGGATACATCAGATTAGGGAGACGAAAGATATTTAGATATGGAAGGTGCGGATTGGATATCAATGGCATCCGAGAGATCTTTCTTCAGGCTTTGTTGAATGGGACTATCCTATTATAGGGTACAAGTTGGATGATTATAGGCGGTTTGTCTATTAATGGCTAACGCTGTCAACCATTGTCTAATTGAAGTCATCCGTGATAACTTATTAGTAAAAATGACAGCTATTTATTAACTGGCAAAAAAAAATCATTCTTTTCTAGAAGTATAAAAAATATCTATTCTTGCTTTTACTAGCCAAAAGATTTCTTTATGCGTTCATTATCAAAAATACTTGCTTATGATTTTGATAAGTTTAAGAATTGGTTGGCTCATTTAGAACATGTAATGTGATCAGTACTAAATATGGACATTGCACCCTACATAATTGTGACATAACGACTTGTAAGCTTAAAGTTTGGTTGCACTAATTGTGACCATTTTACTATTTTTTGACATCGATCTACGTACGTACATGTAATAAACTTCATTCTTCTGTGATATGTTTGACAACATATACATGTAGAAAGATTGGTTCATATTTTGTCTTCAGATAAGTGACTTGAGATGACCAAATAATTGGTCATTTGCTACGAATGAATTGTCATTTACAAACATGAAAATCAAATCAAAAAAATGAGTTTCTCAACTTCTTGGGCTCAAAGTGATTTTAAAAAAAATATAGAAGAAGCTTTACTATTTGTTATTTTACTGACTGGTAGGTTTCCTGCTCAGAATCTCTAAAGCACTAAAACTTTGATGGTATAGATAAGTGGTTTACTCGGAACTTCTTTACCATTAAACTGTATTACTAATTACAATTGGTATTTACTTAGATGCTTCAGCTCCGAAACAGCAACTAAAGTATGAACAGATTGCAAAAAGGATTTTTTATTAAACATCAAATTTTGAGACAATCTCATAATACTGAATCGCATCTTAAATTCTACTTACGTTATATTATCCCGACCCATAACTTTCTTTATTCTCATCACAAACAAAAATTGAGCCACTATCTAAAAACTCAATAAGCTTTCAAGAAAAATCTGTGTATCTAAATTATCATTAAGTAAAGTGACCAGATTCCACTTGTTTAAAATTTCGCCCAGAGGGTTTGTAAAAGTTCGCTTATATCTTCAAATTATGAAGGGGTGAGGAATTGGAATTTGTTGTATTTGTGATTAGCCTCATCATTTCCCGGGTGAAAGTCACAATGCACAAATCCCTCTCGGTGAACTTCACACAGATTAAAAATATTTTTTCATAAATATTCTAACTTTTTGTTTCTACTTCAATCCTTCGAATTTGGGATTACAGTAATATATCTAGCTGGATTTTAGTGATTCCATAATAATTAAGATAAAAACTGCACTTTAGAGAAGTCTGAAAAACTTAATGTGTAAACAAGTTGCTTTTTCATTTTCTGATAAAATTAAGATGATTACCTCATTTATAAAACTAATGTAATTTGCTTTGAATTTTTTATGGTACATAACATTTAAAGTCATCAAACGTTTGTATTTTATAAAATGGATAAACTTCTCTATTAAGAAGCAAATACAAAATTTAATCCGTGAATATGATAGAATAGGCCTTTTCTGAGAATATTCACAGATTAAATTTACTTCTTAGCGAAGAATTTTATCCATTTTATAAAATACAAACGTTTGATGACTTTAGATTTTATGCTCATAATCTCAATACCAGTTCCAAACCTTCCTTTTGCAAGCTATCCAATATTGACAAATCCTTCGAAAGAAATCCATTCGAAATCTGTTTTAATTCTTTTATCGATATCTTTATTTTAATTCGTTTTTGATATTCAAACATCCTCTGCAGTGCTCATTTTTTTGACACTCGTAACATTGACTACAATCATCAGTATTAGATTCCATCTTTGAATTCACTTTATGTGCAGTGTCGAAATCAAATTTTTTACTTAAGCGTAGTTTTGCGTTTTAACAATTAATATCGTTATTATTCTTTTTTGGATAGGCCATGAAACAATTGCACCTAAAGAAACTCAAAGGAAAGCCACTTCTCCTGAAATCAAGCAGAGCTCAAACGAATTCATCAAATTTATTTGACACATATGTGGGCGTTGTACGTGTTGGTAAATCGATTTCATGTTACGTACATAAAAAATGAAAGACGAGAAAAAATATGAAATAGCCAAATCAATTCCGAATATTTCGATATCAATTTTTTTCTATGAATAGATTTCTTAAATAATATATCTGTGTGCATGAGTGGTGGTAGTGCAATTTTCAATATCTTTTTCAAACATGATTTTTTATAAATCAAAATTATATTTATGAGGAAAATTATCAGAGTCATCACTAAAATAATATAAAATAAAATTTTAACTTGATTGATAATAGATAAATATTATCAATACGCTATTGTCTTGAAATCTTTGCCCGTCTGTTTGATCCTTCCGACACGTTTTCAATAGGATTGTTCGTTTTGTGGTCTTTTAATTTTAGTTTTATTGAAAAATCATGTCGAGACTCTGTTGCTATTAACGAAAAGAAAACTTACGTTGTGTTTTCTTTCAGCATCTTTTCCATCATTCTCAGTATAAAGATCAAACTCTCGTGATATATATATATATTATAATAATCATTACTATGCACAATTATAGAATAGCTAATACGTAACGATAAATTTTACATTCATTGCTTTATTTGGAGCATATAAATTGTTACTTGTAGACTCAGCATCAATATCGATATCAAATTCAGTAGTCATATATTCCAGAGTTGTATGCAATTAAGTATTTTTAATACTGGTACCGTATATTAAATAGTAAATTACCTTCATTCGGAACATACAAACTGACACTTGAAGAGCCTAAACATTCGATATAATTTTAATTAATATTAAATGTCATGATGTATAAACTGCATTTGAGTGGTGTTTTTGTTTTTGTTCATATTCGTAGGAATGATTTTTGTAATTTCATCTCCAAATCAAGTTTATCTGATCTCTGACATTCTAGTTCAAGGCACTCACTCAATAATTTCTTCATGTGTTCTAGGATATTCTAAAGAACTATAGTACTGAAAATGTAAAGTGTTCAGTTTGTTTCCTCTATTCAAGAAACATCTGATAAAGTCTCCAAGTTCCTTGGCAGTGAGTCTATTTTCTGGAATAAGACTCCTACGTTTTTCAATAATAAATTTGCACCATCTGTGAATATTATTTGGTACTCCTTTATGGACGTCGTACACAAGATAATGAATGATCATGACTCTGGTCGTTCACAATCATCCCAAAACCATAAATATTTGCAGTTTAAGTGTATGACTGTCCATTTAGCACCTCCGGACTCATATAAGGAAGATTTCTTGATTAGGTTTTTTTTATTTGCTGAACCAGTAAGTCCATAATCAGCAATCTGAAAAATACCATTTCGTTATCAATACATTTATAGGATGAAGGTCACGATGAAAAACCCCCTTTTGGTGAATATCAAATAAATCCCTGGTAATAAAAACTAAATGTTCTTCCAATCTTTCATGTTCGGAGTTACATGTACGTAATATCGATATCGATATACATGTACGTACTGTATTTCGTAGATCGTCATTTTTTACATACTGTACATAACGATAATCCGTCCGTCCAATAACTTTTTTCTTTTCCAAGACAAATCACAATTTGAACGACTAATTAACAATTAAGAATTGGCACAAAATTTAATGCTCCTAGCATAGATTCTGACTTTGTGATCTTAAATCTTGACAAATTTTGTGCCAATTCTTATGAAAATTGTTAATTAGTCGGATTTGTCTTGGAGAAGAAAAAAAGTTGTTCAATGTGAGAAATTTGCTAATTGTAAATTTCGATTTAAATCATTATATTCAACAAAATAATTAGAGGTTTCAAGGTTTCAAATGAGCACTTTTTATTTGGTGTGCAAGCCACGTGTACTGTATTACTGTATCGTTATCGTTATCGTTATCGTTATCGATATTCCCGTTACCTCCGAACTGGTACGTTAAACACAAAAGATTACATGTAACTGATATTCTTGTTCTTGCGTGTACAACACTATAAGTTTTCAAGATATAAGTAGGGTAATTAACTTTTACGTCCGTCTTGACAAAAACTCAACGATACGTTCTGTCCGTGTATTGATTGAGATCATGTTTGTTAGCCATGAAATTATCATCTTGGGCTTTTTCACTGCATCTGTTTTTTCTTGTTCTCCCAATAACTTTGACGGGAATTTTATCACAATAAGTTTTGCTGGAGCTAATAATTGGCGAATAAATATAGCAGGCGGTATTGTGTAAGAAACGTGAAAATATATATTTGTCGTATAAACAATCTTCGACTCTATTTTGAACTAGTCACATTTCAAAATTTAACAGGCAACAAAACGCACAAATTATCACTTATAACAGCGGCAATCAACCAGCTCCAAACGAAATATTCATGATACCGCAGCAGCCGACACGTGGAGTTTTTGAGCTTCTCCCCTATATCAGTTTCTATCAAGATTATGGTAAATGGCAGCCATTTACTTCCCTAGATTGTACTTCTTTTTGAGAAAAATTTGCCATTTTATTCATCACAATATAGTCATTGGGATGCCAAGTGTAAATGCTGGTGACACTTTCAAATTGCAAACGAGGTTAGCGACTATATACATAATTGTATACTAAACTTTACAAACAATCGGGGCTAAATATATCGATTTTTGCTTTCCCTAAAGAGACGATTCAAATGCTCAAAAATTCACTTTCGACTGTAATACTTGTAACATCCAAACAAATTCTCAGAACTGGACGCCATACCACACCTCATGTCAGATAAAGGTAGGAGAATTCCAATTTCGAACCATTTAACAATAACTGTTTACCTAATTAGTAGACCTAAGAACTACTGTGCGTTTTAACCATAGAACATCGGCTTTGGTTTTTGTATGATTGGTGGCGACTATTTTACTAATGTGAATCAGACTTACTGTACAACTGCGAGTAACTGGGACCTTTGGGGGTATGCCAAAGTATTTGAATTCAATGATTACTTTTTCGCTAGTCAAACTTTAGTTTTATCTTTAAATTCAACAGAAGGATATCACCTTATATTACCAATTCTACTACCTCATCGAATATTACCAATTCTACTACCTCATCAAATATTACCAATTCCACTACCTCATCGAATATTTCCGATTCCACGACCCCACCTAAGACTCCCGCATCATCGATTTCAAGTATTTCATCTCATAGCAACATGGAAGAGACTCCTGGTGTTCAACTCTCACCAGGTGAACTTGTGGGCATAGTTGTGGGATCTTGCGCGGTTACAGCGCTTATTGCTCTTTTGGTGTATTGGTTTTTCCGTCGTCGCCAGAAATATACCATGGACGTTGATCGCGTCAATGTTCAAGTTCACGGTTAATAAAGATAATAGCTTTTCGAGAAATATATGCTTTTTTATAGCCACTTCACTCTGATGTCAAAATGGCACTGTTAAATTACACATAACGACCGGATTCGTCAGGTATCTTTGAACAGCGATATCTCGTCAAACTGTATAGGCTGAGATATCAACGTTCAAAGTTGCTCGATTTTCCTGCATCATAATAATAAATACAAATATTCAAATACTGTACATACAAACAGTTTTACAGTTCTGGTGGTAAGTAATTACATAATTGCTGTGCAAATTTTATGCAATATAGTACAGAAAATAAGTGACATACGTATTTCATTGTGTTCGTGCCATGTTTCAAATATGTTATCTACCCATACAGGTAGTGCCTGCGTTTTAGTGGCAACATTAAGGGTAAAAATGGACGAAGTATAGTCCAAAGCATGGTTATTATAATGAAATAACCATTCTGGCATATTTTGAGTTTGATATCTCTCAATCATAACTTTATCAAATTATTAATATTTTTGCTGTCACTGTCCAGAAACAGGTAGGCCAAGTATATTGAATACTTTTACTTTGGCTTCAAACGAAAAGGCGGGATTGAGAAGAATGTGACGAATACTTTTATTACGAGAACATTTTTATAATAAGCGAAATCTTTTATTGTATTGATGTGAGAAAAAAGAAGTATTAAAAATATCATGGTATGTGAAAAAAAAATCGGATTATATAGAACCGGCCTGGATGTATGGTTTCATAAACATGAAACATTGTATTCTCATTGAACTACAAATTACTTTGTACTTCAGAGTCTAACGTCAAATACTTTGTACTTCAGCGTCTAACGTTAAATACTTTGTATTCAGAGTCAAATGATTTGCATTTTAACATTAAAATCTGGGAATCCATAACGATAAGGTATATATAAAATTAATCGATTCTCAGAATCGATTCTTATCCCTATAACCGACATTAAGTGTTAAGTGTTGGAAATTATTTTGTGCAATAAAATTAGATCATGACACATGTCAAAATATTCATATAAACACTCGAATTTATTTTAAAATAATAATTTCATTAAAAGAATTCTTTAAACGAGCAATTCGTGGTATGTGAGTTAACTGCAAAAGGACAGAATTCGCAAAATAAAAAGTAAAAAGTAAAAACTGTTTCAAAGAGTGTAATATTGAAACTTTGAAATAAATATTATACATTATGTGTCTGACTAAGGATAGAAAATTAGGAAAGAGCGTGACCTATATCGATCGTGAATTATGAATTAATTAATTAAAAAATAAATGCAGTTTACGTCCGAAATGATCAGCATGTCATTTTCCAGAAGCAAATTTAACGTTAATGTAATAAAGTTTATCAAATCCAGTAGAAGAGCCATTAACTGTACATGTACCAAATCAGGATTTGGACCATTCCGGAATGGTCTGATCAGCATCCAGACCATTTAAGAACTCTGACGTGTCTGGGCTACTTTGGAACGTTACATAATGATAACGATAACATTAAATTAAATACATGTACGTACGTATATCGATACGTATACGTACATGTATTTAATCTAGAATACTGTTGCGTCGTACGAGGAATTAATTAACTTGAGGGATTTCCGCAACGAGATTTGTTAGTTAGACTAAATGGTTCACAAAAAAGGGGTTTATCGTTCTAAGGGTATCGGTATCCTGTGGCAATTTGTGCACAAATTGACTTTAATAATAGGAGCGTCTCAATTAAAATAAAAAAAATAACGAAATGATCTTATAAAGAAAATTAATAATAGAAGCATTACAATTAAAATAAAAAAAATAATGGAATGATCTTATAAAGAAATTAATAATGGATCAATAAATTTCTATCTATTGCTATTCGGCAATTATCATAATGATCTTAAAAATAACAGGGCGTATTGATACGGCCTGTACAAAGAAAAATACGATATAAAAAAATAAGATACTACAGTGAACGCTTCCCTAAATGCAACTCGTCAGGAGACATACGAAAATTGAACAGAAATGTGCATTTAGGGAAAAATTGCATTTATGGAGAGCATTTTACTTAATTGTCTTATTAACTTGGAACCAAAACAAGGCTTGCATTTAGAGAAAAAACATAGTAATTGCATTTAGAGAGGTTGCATTTAGAGAGAGTTCACTGTAATTCAATAAAATCGATGGCTTATTTAAAGTGGAGGAGCATCCACTACTTGTTATCTTACAAGATTTGAAGATGATTGGTACAAGAGAATAATAATGTATTTATTATACAGGTAAGAACTTTTTTATTTCTTTTGATCAAGCATTATTATTCAATATAATTTAATTTTCAAAATAATTCACTTATTTAACAAAATAATTAAGATCTTTATTAGATTATAATAATTATGAAAAATAATTTCTCGGAGATTTTAGTTTCTAAACTAATTTATATATGTTATTAGTATGTGATATAAACGAATTATCTTGCATTCTTTAAACTCTCGAAAATGGTTATCGTTATTTCTTCTTTGCCTAATTGATTTGCATGCTGCAAAACAAAAGTATACGTAGAAAAATTCCGCATTCTTCAATTGGCGCAGCTTGAGATTGGTGCTGTCTTTTATTTGTATTAGACCAATTTCCTGATAACGTCAATTATGATATGAGAAACTAAATAAGATTGTATTATAACGCTGCTTTAAAAAATTAAATACTGTATATGCAACGGTAAGTTTTTTCTTGAATAAACCATGTACGTACATGTAATATCGGATGTGAATGTCCATCTTCGGTAAAATGTATGCTAGTAACCGTGCGGAGATACATGTAATTAGCTGAATTCGACTATTCTACATTATATCTTTGACAAAACAACCGAACTAGATCGGCTTGATTTTGTCTATATCGATGTATATTCATATTTTTCATTATTCTATTTCCTTT